TAATTAAAGGGTTCGTTCACCCAAATAATAAAAAAACGTCATTTCCTACTTAGTGGTATCTGACCACGGCCATAGTTCTGGTTTGATTTCCCCATGTTTTGAGATATCAGCATCTTTTTAGTGATTATTTAGGCGGTGTGGGGCAGTTAGGCATTCACAGATAGAGCAGAACTGTTGTGAGTAGTGTAAACCATTACAGTGACTGCTCCTAGAAATGCTCCGTCACTGTAACTTTGGGGGTTGGGTTGTTTGATGTCTTACTAGGAGTTTGATGAGCTGTTGATGTAAGAGAGTACTTCTGCTGAGGAGTAATACAACTGTTTATTAAAGTAATGTAATGAGTTTTTTGAATATGTAATGAGTAATTCCTTGTATTTTTCAAGTAACATGTCTTAACACTGGATTTGGGTGAACTGGCCCTTTAACTTGGCCCCAAACTGCACACATCCAAACTGACTTAACTTTACCCCAATTCTGCTGCGATACGACAGCCCATAAACCTTTTACACATTTCACACACTGAACACAGTTCTTCTAAATTACAAACACTACAATGAATGTACCGAAACACTCACCTCTCACACTCGCCTCCTCTTCCTCCCTCCCTCCAATGCTGAGGTTCCATCCATCCAACTGCTTCACTGAGCTGCGTATGTTTATGTGTACGCTTGGTGATTGCGGCGGGGGGGGGGTCTAATTCAATTCACCGGCAGCCAGTTCCAGTTCACATTAACACAGTTTAATAAAAGACTATTCAATTAGCTGCAGAGCCCCATGTGAGCGTGTGCTGCGTGCAGAAACAGAACGGCGACTGTCATTGATGGAGCCGCACACCCTAATTAGGCTCACTGTCGACTTCTCACATATGCAACGCCAAGTTGGCTGAGGGTGAAGAGAAGAAAAGAGGAGAGGGGACGCAGCGAGGGAAAGAGAAAAGTGTAGGGTAACAGATCCCCAGCAGTAAGTGAACTCCAGGTGTGTCTGACAGCAGGTGCATTCTACAAGTGTCTAACTTTACTTGAATTGATCCCCATTAAGTGCATACAAAGGGCAACGGTTTGTCAAAGTCTGACACCGCCTCTCATTTGCTGAAACCCTTTCAGCTGGATAAGAAAGAACAGCGTTTCAAGAGCTGAGCGAAGTAGACGGCGCAGGGCTGCTAAAACACGTACATTAGGCTCAAGCTGAAGGACGTCTGAGAGGTTTAAGTCAAACTCAAAGAATATTTACGTCAGATGAACACCTGCACTTAAGAGGGTGGTGGGGGGGGAAGCAAAGAAATGTATGTTGAATGCAGAGTGAGCATGACAGGAGCCCCAACCGGCCTCACTGCCCGCTAATCACCGAGAAGTGAATAGCGGCGCATTGTGAGGCGTGGGCAGCCATCTTCTAACCCGGCACCGTGCAAGCTCGTCTTCGCAAAATCAAAGCCGGGCCGGTTACCACGGCAACCTCAATCCCCAATCTTTCGCAGTAATAAGGTGGGAAAAGAAAAGGCTCCGCACTATATAGATGCAGGGGTTGAGAGTCAAGATGCTCTGTCAAAAAATAAAAATAAAATTACCAGCGGTGAGGGTTTCAGCCTTCAGATCGAACACACAAACAACAACCATCAAGATCGTGTTGATCTCATTTCACCACAAAACCACATTCAGAACATCTCATAAAGCCCAGCTTTCCGGGTTTTTTTTCCACCCATTGTGCTCTCTTATCCCATATATTGGTGAAATATCCACGATATTTCTGTAATTCAGCCACTTTAATTAAAAGGGGGGTGGGTTTCTAATAAAAGCCAAATGGCAGATAGCGGTGCCCGGGCTTTTCACCAGTTTGTTTAATCAGAGAATTGCTGAATGGGAGGAAGGCAATAACAGAGTGAATAGAGTCTGGTATTTGTAAAGAAATGTCAGGGAGAGAGGAGGGATATGAGAGTCACTGACTGAAACCTCCAATATGAGGCTGGCTTTATTATATGTGCATCATGTCTGTTGGGTTAGAGCTGCCTAATCCTTGGTGAGGAAGTGGAGTTTGTGGTTGGAGGTGTTCGTTCGCTCGCACACACACACACACACGCGCACACACACACAACACTGGACTGACAGAAATGATAGACACACACACGCACACATTTCATTGGCCTCAGTATTTCCCTGGATTTCTATAATAGAGCATACATTGTATGGATTGGTCAATGGTGCTGTGAGTGGTACGACGTGATCGATGCCATGATGGCGAGTGAGAGTCAAACTGTGATCAATAGATCACTTCTCGCTGCTATCGTTAACAAATACACTCTACTACATTCACATTGATTACCACTTGTGTGTGAATGTGTACTTTCATACAGGAACAACCGTGAGGACATATTGCAAGTCCATTAATATTCTGCCTGTGTCTGCTGTGTGACTGTGTGCAGTACGTATGTGTGTTTGTGGTGCGCGATAACAAGCCTCTGTCATTCTGAGGTTGGCCAACCATGTCCATATATAAGTGGAAATGCATCTTAACTGAGTCTCTCTCTCACACACACACACACACACACACACACACACACACACACACACACAGAAAGAGGGTTAAGTGTGTGAGTACAGACTCGTGCTATGAGCTGCCGCTCTGTGAGCTGACCTCCGGGGTTATCTGGAAGGTTCCTCCGCACCTTGCTGCTAGCACCAACCTTTGCAGTCACCATGGAAACACAGCTAGCAGGGACAACATGTGGCCCGTCCGGTGTGTTGCTCGTGAGCACGCATTCACACGGGCACCTGTACATGACGACACGTATGTATACATGTGTTCACTGTAGTGGGAAAACACGTGAAAAAAAGACAGATGCAGGCACACATATGAATCTGTTCTGGACTTCATTTATCCCTCATTCCCTTCTCTCGCTTAATGAAACCATGAGTATGGCACAGCATTGTCAAAAGGATGCACACGACCCCATTTTCAGCAGTGGAAGCATTATTAGCGTGCCGTGACAAGAGGCAGCCATCCTCACAACACACACACACACACGACACACAACCTGCAGTCTCATCATCACCGGACCACCGGGATTTATTTCAGCGACGGCAGGGGTGTGCCGCCGCAACATGACAATAAATCAACACATCATACACTCTGGAGTGACATGTCAAGATAATACACTCAAAACCCAAAGGAGGACGGGGATTGGGAAGGAGGGGGAGTTATTCAGTGATGGTGAATAAATAAATGGATGGATGGATCGGAGAAGGAGAAGATTTGATGCTCTGTCCTTCTTGACTTCTTCTCCTCCTGCTTTCTTTGGGATTCTCAGCCATGATTCGTCAGTGAGCTCTAAAAACAACAACAACAGGGGGGGGGGGGGGGGAGACAAGGAAAGAGAAACCATCAAATTACTAATTTACATTACTGGGATCCAAAGGGGAAACTCACAAAAGTCAGGATGCATCATGGGAAATCTAATCCCTCACACATAAACAAAGCAGCCATAAAGTCACACATTACAAAGGTGGTTCAGTAAATGTAAGTGTCACCTCACAATTTCTTTCAACCACAGCTCCGAAATGAAACAGCTCACAACAAGGTCTGTGGATTATTCGGAGTGACCAGGTCATGATTTCTGGAAAGAGACGTTGCTTTTTTTGGCACTTTGAGCACCACAAGCTGAGTGCCATATAGTCTCATTACATTGGGGAGAAGGTTGTAATCTCTGCGGCCAATGTCTCCAAAACTAGGGAACTTTAATTTTTGGGATGAACTGTTGTTTTATGAAAAGCATAAATAAACCCAAAGCCTTGGAAACATGGCTTCTTTGTCAGGAACTTTAGTTTAAAAAAAAAGCAAAACTGTTTCATTTTGATGTAGACTAGCACAAAACTGGTCAACATTTTTCAGCCTTGAGAGTAAGAGATATATACACATGATGTACTGTGTTCCCAGGAGTTGTAGCGTGATGCGCGTGCTGCCCTGGAAGTGTTTGGCCTGCAGCAGTAGATGTGAGTTCTAACCCAGTGACTCACAGGAGCTGCAGGGAAAGTCTGCAGTGGTTTATTAGTGCAATAAGCCAACAGCAGAGAGATATTTTGGCCAGTGTGTGTGTTTTTTTTTTTTGTGCAACAGCAAGAATTGCAAAAGACCCGAGTTCTTTACTCCACCTTAAAATCCAAAAGCTCGTAGCTGCCTTTTGCTTGCTTATCGCGGCTCTGTACTGTTGCCATAGCACCAACGCATAGCGCTGAAGTGACAGCACCAGACGAGGCAGCAGACTGCTCATGAAGACAACGAGGGAGAAAGGGGTTGCAGTTGTACAAGTGGACGTGAAAGTGTTTTTTTAATTTATCAGGCAAAATTTGGAGCAGAAGGAGGTAACGTGTGCGCGTGTGGGGTGTGTACCTGCATCAGTGGTTGGAGCAATAGGTAGTGCTATAGAGCTATATATGCCGACTGAAATGAGACTTAACTGGGCTACGAATAATCTATCCAGTCTGGTTTGAAAATGTCTACTATAATCCACCTCTGGTCAGTATGTCATCTACTCATTGCAACTGTGTCATTTAACTCTATACTTCTAAATGTATGTACTATTTATATTTTATCATTTAATTTCTCCCTCTTGCCTCATTTATTACCATTAGCCACAAATAATGTCAAATTGATAAACATCCATCAACCCCTTATCCTGTTAGCTATCACATTATTAATATGACTTTGTTGTTATTGTTGTGAGCATGTGAAGTTTGCATTCTGTGTGCCGCAATGTAAACTCTATAGTGCCGTTTCCTTGCCTTGTTTTAGCTGATGCAAATAAATTGCCTCTGCAAGAAATTAAAGAGTAACTTTGGTATTTTCCAATGTTTGTGTGTCTCAGTGAATTTTTTTAAAAAATTGGTCCAATATTGAGGGAGAACGCTGCAGACGGCAGATGCTAAACAGACTGCAATGTAATCGCTCAGGGCAGTTCCGCACAGTCATTGTACATCCACTTAAAGTATTTGTTTCTGCCACCGGCAGATTGTTATGATAAGTCTCTGACAACATTATAGAGAGGAGCCTACAAAGAAATAAAAAGGCTTTTCTTTACCTTTCACTTGATCCGGTCTGTTAATGTGTCATGTGATCTGTTGCTGGAAGACAGCTATGGACACGCGAGTGAGAGGAGTGAGACAGACTGTTAAATAAAGTGAAACTTAAGCTGGGTACTTACACTGGGCTTAAAATCTAAAAACACAGTGCTAAAGAATCCAGAGTGGTGTATTAAAATGAAACAAGTGTATGAACCGTTACTGGAAGACAATGGATGGATGGAAATGCATTTGGAATCGTCTACTTGTGCAGTGTACGAAACACTGATTGACAACTAAACACCTCTTGCGTCAACACACATACAAACACAAAGCCACAGAGAAAGACACAGGGCAACCCAGGGTTAGTGGAGCATTAGCGTGTGGCTGCTGGGTGGGCTAGTTGGCATGCTAACTACCTCGGGGCTCGGCTGGCTGGCTGGCAGGCAGATATGCTGGCGGGCAGGTTAGCTGTTCACTTGCCAAGTGCATCCGAGGGCATCGCAGCCGGTGCCATTGAATTGGAGATGAGCGGCAAATGTGACATGGGGATTTAGCTTTACTGTTCCACTCACGTCCCGAGACATAAAAGGGGGGACAGTGTGTATCTGCATATGTGCATGAAAGTGGCTCCGACTGTGTTCGCCGTAGTTTGTGCACGCGTTGACGTGTGTGCAGGCGTATGCATGTGCAGTGTGTGGCGGCAGTGTGCGTAGGTATTGCCACACTCGCATACAACAGTGTGATGGGAAATGATGCCTCATGCATAGTGTATGAAGTAGTCCCTGAATTTCAAACTGACCCCCCCTGGCCCCTCCAACAGAACACACAGTTTGATTTGGTTCCCGGGTCCAGATTTGGAATGCCGCCATCCACACTTGGATCATTTAAAGACAGGAAAAGCTTTTTATGCACGGCAACTTGGGCAGGGAGGACAGCCAAATATTCAAGCTCAAGGTCTGTGCCGGATTCAAGATGTACACTCAGTTGCCTGTTTATTAGGTACACCGAACTAAAGCTAATGCAGTCGAGTCCAACAATAAATCCTTCCTTCATCAAGGTAAAATGTTGAAACAGTTTTAAAGGGGTGCTGATTCCAGAGGATGCAGTTTGTGGTGCTGTTATACTGAGAGCTACTTCCAATTTTAGATGCTAGATGTAGACTGAAGGACCACTAATATCTCTTGTTGAGAAGTTGATTTTGTATGGAGCTTTTTCCTCTCATTCAAGAGCGTAGTCTTTCAATCTGAGCGCACGACTTATTGATTTCACGTTCAGATTTTGTAATGCTTTCCCTCAAATCCCCGTCGTCGCACTCAAATAGCCCTCGCTTGCGGTTGACATATGGATATTGCAGATATATTGTTGCTTGCATAGATTTCCTGTGCTCCAGCTTCAGGCCTTCTCCTCATACCCAGGCTGCTTCTGTGTGCTCGTGAAACGTCTGATCCCAGATTTCCCCTCTGCTCTTCTGTGCAATAACCCAGTCAAAATTCCCCAACCAATGGAATGCCAGGTGCAGTGTTGACCAATGAAATGATCCCTGCTTTGTTGCGGGTCGGTTCGGTTTACTAGATTGTCCCTGACAGGTGGTTAACTCTTTAAACCTGGTTCATCCACTTCTGCCCTCCAAGACAGATGCAGTCACCTAGAAGTTACCCTCCCTCCGTGCTGGGTGCCAGGTCCTTGGCTGAAAGGACGCTCCGATGGCACCATATGAGGAGATCAGTTGCAATGGTTTACATCATCTACCAGGTGGATGTGGCTGTAATGTTAACGTTACTCTCATCTTTTGTGTTGCTATCAGAGGGAATGAGTTCCAGGAATAATTCCTTCATCTACGCTTTCTAAACCTATTCACATGAGTTGGAACCAATTCGTACACTGTGTTGGTTCAAAAAGTGTAAAGTCGAAACCTATTTCCGAAACTATTTCCCTTCATTATGACCGACTCTTGCCGAGATGGAAAAGGGTCCGTTGAGGTTAGATTTAAAACACACACACACACACACACACACACACACACACACACACACACACA